AAAAGGCAGAGGAACGAGAGACCAGATTGCCAATATCCGCTGGATAATGGAGAAAGGCAGGGAGTTTCAGAAAAACATCTACTTCTGCTTCATTGACTATTCTAAAGCCTTTGACTGTGTGGATCATAATAAATTGTGGCAAGTTCTTAGTGGGATGGGCATCCCAAGCCATCTTGTCTCTCTCCTGAGGAATCTGTACAAGGACCAAGTAGCAACAGTAAGAACTGACCATGGAACAACAGACTGGTTCAAGATTGGGAAAGGCGTACGGCAAGGCTGCATACTCTCACCCAACCTTTTTAACTTGTATGCAGAACACATCATGCGATGTGCGGGGCTGATGAATGCAAAGCTGGGGTGAAAATTGCTGGAAGAAACATTAACAACCTCAGATATGCCGATGACACCACTCTGATGGCCGAAAGCGAGGAGGAGCTGAGGAGCCTTCTAATCAAGGTGAAAGAAGAAAGCGCAAAAGCCGGGTTGCAGCTAAACGTCAAAAAAACCAAGATTATGGCAACAAGAATGATTGACAACTGGAAAATAGAGGGAGAAACCGTCGAGGCCATGACAGACTTTGTATTTCTAGGTGCAAAGATTACTGCAGATGCAGACTGTGGCCAGGAAATCAGAAGACGCTTACTTCTTGGGAGGAGAGCAATGTCCAATCTCGATAAAATAGTAAAGAGTAGAGACATCAGACTGGCAACAAAGATCCGCCTAGTCAAAGCCATGGTATTCCCTGTAGTAACCTACGGATGTGAGAGCTGGACATTAGGGAAGGCTGAGCGAAGGAAGATCGATGCTTTTGAGCTGTGGTGTTGGAGGAAAGTTCTGAGAGTGCCTTGGACTGCGAGAAGATCCAACCAGTCCATCCTCCAGGAAATAAAGCCCGACTGCTCACTGGAGGGAAAGATACTAGAGACAAAGTTGAAGTACTTTGGCAACATCATGAGGAGACAGGAAAGCCTAGAGAAGACAATTATGCTGGGGAAAGTGGAAGGCAAAAGGAAGAGGGGCCGACCAAGGGCAAGATGGATGGATGGCATCCTTGAAGTGACTGGACTGACCTTGAAGGAGCTGGGGGTGGTGACGGCCGACAGGGAGCTCCAGCGTGGGCTGGTCCATGAGGTCACGAAGAGTCGGAGACGACTGAACGAATGAACAACAACACAGTTCTTAGCAACTTCTCTCTCAACCCAGTGCTCCTTCTTTCCCTCCATTCTTCCCTTCCTTTAACTGGCTGCTTGTACTTCTCTAATGTAGTTCTTTACTCCCTGTTCATCTCTCTCATGAGCAAAGAAAACTTCTCAATTTTCAATTTTTTTAGCAGAATCTTGTGTTCTTTCCCTTGGGGCTCATTCAATGGTCTTCTTCCTCTTACCTTTCAAACTCTCACATACAAGTTCCCATTCCCAAGAGACTTATTAGAGAATCAAGAACTGAACATCATTCCATTCCATTTTTATTTTACCCTTTATTCAAGTAGGTGATATTTCTTCTAAATAAGATAGACAATGTTGAGAGTTGCTTGGGGGGGGGGGGTCACCCAGAAAGCCTTGCAGTTAAACATAGCTATTCCTCAGATCTGACTGAACAGCAAAACCATTGCAGTCAATAAAGACAAATAATTATATACATTTTAAAAAATATTTTAACATAGAAATTAGTCCTTTTAGGTATGTGTGTGTGTGTGTGTATGCAGTGTTTCTGTTCAAGTTTCTTCAGTGACTTTTCTTATGCATGTCAGAAGCTTTCCTTTTTTTCCCCAGTGGATTGCCACTGGACTACTTGCACTCAAAAGAATACTTTAGTAGTTGAAAATTTGTGTAACACAAAAGCCTTATTTTGGGGCAAATGAAAGCATGCTATCCGGCATACTGCTTTCTAACTACATAAAATAGCTGCATGATGAAGAAATTAACAAGCTAATCCAATTCTTCTTTCTAGAACATTAATTAAATAATAACATTTGTGAATCATTAAATCTGCCAGGAACAAATTCTTCACAAATGCTGCAGAACTAATTCTTTAGTCCATAGTAATATTTTAATGAGCACTTCTCAGGCTTATTTTGATTACAGAGTTGATAACTGGACAGTAGCATAATCTACTATGTTAGTTGATAATATTTTTTTGTCATCATCATTATCATCATCATCACTAACAATGACTTCAAGGTTTCTGTTTTTATCTGTGATGTAAAAGGAGATTCAAATAGATTCAGACTGATTAGTGATGGTTTGGACCAAAAGAGCTAATAATCATGTCAGTGCAGAAATATGTGACTAAAAAATCTTTAAAGAGAATACCATCCAGTCCATATTTGAAAACTGCCACCAAGGAGACTTTGCCACATTCCAAGGTAGGTCATTCAATGAACACCTCCTACCACCTTAAAGTTCTTCCTAACTATTGGACTGGAATGCTATTTACTGTACATTAAATATATTACAGTACCTTGGATCCTATGCACTGGAGTAGCAAAAAAAAAAGTTTGCTTCATCTTCCACCTGAAAGATTTTTCAAAAATGGCTATTTTATTTATTTATTTATTTGGTGCGCTTATATACCGCCAATATCTCAGCCTGTATGGCGACTCATGGCTATCATGCCACCTCCAAAAGTTTTCTTCTATATAATATATCTGGTATGAATTGGTCCTCATATAGATTTTTCTTCTTACTCTTCAGCATATTAAAAGCTCTAGCATGTAGATATCCCTCTAACTGTCCTATACAGAAGATGGAATTCCTGTTTTATCAAATCATGTATAAAGATAGTGAACAATAGGTCATAATCCTGGAGAAACCAATTTTTCATTTCTCTGCAGAGGAGGCTCTGCATAGACTCTTTATCCTGGAGCCATTTCACAGTGGCAAATGCTGGATTGGCACCAGGATGGTTTTGACTAACAGCCTCCTGGTTGTGGGAAGGAGCCCTGAGCATCCAGCAGGGCTGAACCTGATTCAGTGCCACTGGGGCCATCCTTTCTTTCCTCTTCCCATTCTAATCATTGCAGTAGCAAGCAGGCACAACAAAGCAAGTGTCCATCATTCATCACCTGGTGATTTTCTTTGGGATGCCTTAGTGACATGGAATGGGTTAAGTGTGGAGAGAAGAAACTGTCCATCTTCTCCCCTCTCCCTTCTCATCATCTGCTTCAACTAGTATAACTCCAGGCAGCAAGTGACTGCCATCAGCCATGTTGCACCTGTTAGTTGTTATGTCAATAGGAACAGGAGGGAGATGGTGGGTACCATCAGGTGTCTCCAGGTCACCTGAACCCATGAAATATTTGGTGGATATTCAAATAGTTGTGGCCAATGCCATCTCAGAACCAGCTCAATTGCTTATACAGATCCATGGTTGTGTTTTGCTCTGGATTCTTGGGGAGAATTTTGAGCAAACTGCAACATTTGTTAACATGGTTCAAGGCCCTATTAATGTATTTATTTACCATATTTATATCCCACCCTTCTCATCCTTTAGGGTACGCAGAGCAGCTTACATATACACGTAGAAATTTGATGCCAACATGAACATACATCAAATAAAACAAAACATATACATTAAAACCATTGCTAGAAATTTATCAAGCATTAAAACCACTTATTCAAAATCATGCAGTCCAATGCCATAATCCAGTGCCATTCCAATTGTCATTGTGGCATTCTGTATTATCTTATTGCACTGTTACTGACCAAAAGCTTGGTCCCACACCCATGTCTTTAGTTTTTCCTGAAGGTCAGGAGGGAGGGGGCCAATGTGATTTCAGTCAGGAGGAAATTCCATAGCATAAGGGGCCACCACTATTAATCAGCTCTAGATCACATTAACCTGAATCAATTCTCATCTCTGTGTGATTTTTCCTTAGTAGTTTCTTGATATTTGAAGAAAATATTTCATTTACCAATTTTCAAATATTATAAAATAGTCTTCCCATTTCTACTTCTGAGATGTTATAGGATTACAGAAATAAAAAGGTCACATCAGTTCAGTAATAGAATTTCTGAAAAACAATCACCCCTAGACCAAGTAAATGCAACAAAATTAACATCTAACAAAATCTAGTCTTCAACATATTGATTTCTTTGCCACAGTTCAGCTAATGCCATGGGAGCCAGATACTAACTGATATTTTCCCCTTATAATAAAACTCTTATTTGAAGTAGCCTGGATAAAACAGCATCCAAGTCCATCTTGGATACATCTTTAGAAGTACAAAGAACTCTCTTGAGGCATACTAGAATGGAGTGTATTTAATGTCTTCCAGATTTGCCAACTTGTTTTCAAGATTGGATGCTTTAGGAGCTGTGATCCTGACTTAAATGTTGTCACTAGTCATCAATACAGCTTTTATACTCTGAGCGAGGAGAAATATATATACACCCACAAGCTTCTAGCAGTAGTGGAAGAAAGAAATACAGCCAGGTAGATGGTAAAGAATCAATAATTCACACAGCTGTTTAGAAGACAATCCTGCAGGTATCTTTCTACAGTTCCTTTTGTACATCAGCACCTATGTTGTAAGAGTAAATAGTCTTGTTTCCAATAATGTTTACAACACTGCTCTTGGTTCAGCCTTTATAAGAGAAATATATGTCACCGTCTCTAGGATGTAGTTCTATTGTGAAGAATAAATGTCCCCAGCATTTGTGCAAGCATGCTTTTCATTTAATTCCTTCATATTTTTGTTGAGTTCTCTTTCAGCCATTTGAGATCACGTAAACAAAACATTTAACAGGAAGGTTTTCAGGATTGTCCTATTGTTAAAGCTTTCAAAGAGAGAACTGTCAAATCATAGACAGGCATTCACATTCACTTTTAATAGGTTAGCATTACAGGATAATTAGTTGGATTATATAAGTGTGTCTCTGGAAATTATGTATCTATAATTAAATAAAGCTTCATAACTACACATTAAAATATGCTTTTAATATTATTTATAGACTGAAAGCCAAGACTCCTTTTAAATGCATCTGATAGATTATAGTTACCTTTGTAGTTAACTTTGAAGCCAATTGAGCCCACACTTTCATCAGTTTGAAGGTGCAGCCACATCTGATTGTTCATGCTGACAATTAAATCTGGCACGAAGCTTCCCGTTAACCTAATCATACACAAAATAAAAACTCCATTAGCTTGGAAATTGACTTCAAATAAAGAGATATTAAGAAAGCAAGTAAGAGTTTTTGATCACAGCACTCCAAGGACCAAAACATTATAGCAGTGATGACATTTTTTAAAAGCCCAGTCATCAGGAAAAATGCAGCCAGCTGAACATCTCCGAGTTCTGTATAACACAGCAATGTTGTGAAGATAATCTGGTATAATTCTATAAATCTATACTTGAAGTTAAAGCAAAAGTTCTGTTTTTAAGGAAAGAAATGTTTAAGAATAACATGGTAAGGTTTTGGCTGTATGTATGAGCCTTTAAAATGGAACCTGGAAAACACATAACAGATCCACTGCAATGTACATCCCATCCTCTTCCTTATATATCATTGCTATCTTGTGAAGGAAATTCTGTTGAAGGACCACACTTATAAAGAAGGTAATAAGTAAGTCAGAAATGGGCAGCAACATGTTTTAACCCACTTCCTCTCAGGTTTTAGTATAGTGTAGAGAACCCTTAGAGAACCACAAAATAACTAGTATACTGGCAAATACAGAGAAATAAATTCACCAAGCAGCAGCATCAAGCAAGAAAAAAAGACCAAATCATTAAGACTATTCCAGCTTCTCTAAACTGGCTCTGAATTGCTGAAGGTTCAGAGGGTGTAAGCTAAAAAATAGACTGGCAAATAGCTTGCACACATAATGATATTTTATATGGTTGGTGTGCAGTAATTCTCTTTTATGTATTCTTGTTGTCTTTTCTAACTTCAGTTGTTTCTTCTTCTTGAAAACATTGTTTTTAAAGTAGAAATTTAGAAGTTTGACTTTCAGATATGGGGGATTACATGGTTGTCTACATTGCAAAATGAATGCAGTTTGACATCACTTTAAAATTAATTATTAAAGGCAAATGGGACAGGAAATCATCGCAATCAATGATAACAGATATCTTCTTAAATTATCATAGATTAATTAGATGCTTATTTGATAGCTTACTCTCATGACAGTCTGAATTCACGTTGTATTTATCTTTTTCCAAATAGCTGCTGCATCAAATTGAAGCATAAAAAAGGTCTCAATTCTACTCCTGTGAATCCATATATGTATATATATTTGTGTGCGTGCACACATGTGCACGTGCACGCATACACACACATGATGTAGATGGAAAGGTAGGCAGACAGATGATAGAGATAAAGATACCAATTCAAGGGAAAACAGTCCCGAGACAAATAATCTCAGGCTGACAGCACTATAATTTGGAAAAGATTCCTAGAGCATTATCTGTACATCTTTCACTACTACATCTTCTTTATTATAATATAGAGGTTCTTTACTTTGAAGCTTATAACAAATTAAATAGGGTGCTCATAATAGAAAAACATGTAGGCTTTTATTTGTATTAATCATAAAACAATCAGTCTTAGTTAATGTACCAATTGGCTCAGATAGGATGCTCTGAAACATTAATATCTTAAATGGAAGGATGGGAAGCATGCAAGTAATAGTTCATATTTGCACAAGAAGCAAAGAGAATTGGGGAAGAGAGAACTCAGGAAACAGTCAAAGATCAGCTATGAAACTAAAGGAAATCATAAATATACATGTTCATATATATTAGAACTGGAAGAACATGGATACAAAATAACTTCATTGTCCTCCAATGTCTACTCAACCTCTAAATACTTTTAACATATTTGAAAGCTGGACAATATACTTAATGTTAATTCTTTTCTATTTCCATTGAGAAGCTAATCTCTTTGAATGAAAGGAAAAAAAACCCTTAAAACTATAGAAACAATAGTAACAGACTAAAAATAAAGTGATTTACTACTAAAAGCATATATGTCTTGATACAGTAGGGGTCATGGTGGCACAGCGGGTTGAACCACTAAGGAACATGCTGATCAGAAGGTCGGCTGTTCTAATCCAAAGGACGGGGTGAACTCCCATAGTTAGGCCAAGCTTCTGCCTACCTAAACATACAAATGTGAGTAGATCAATAGGTACCTCTTCGGCAGGAAGGTAACAGTGCTCCAGGCATTCATATTGGCCACATGACCTAGAGGAATCCATGAACAATGCCGACTCTTCAGCTTAGAAATGGAGATGAGCACAACCCCTCAGAGTAAGACTCGACTAGTGTTAATGTCAAGGGGAAATCTTTACCTTTATTTATTGATATAGTAGTAACAGTAGAATGAGTCCCCTCGGGGAGATAGGGTGGAATATAAAGTTTTATTATTATTATTAATATGCATTGCCTTTCCCATATTAATAAAGCATTGTCTTTTAAAATACACATGGAAAAGCACTATTTGATTACAAACCAAAATAGTAACATTAGTTACTTACGTAGGCTGTTTCCCCTTTCTAATACTACTGTGCAAAGAGGTTTTTGAAAGGGTACAGTGTCACAAAAAAAGATGAATAGCAGCTTTGTAGTTAAGATACATTGGTTTTTTTGCTGAACACAAATAAAAGGAGAATATGGAAAACTGGACAGATTAGCTACACAAATGATTTTAGCTATGTAAGTTGATTGAGAGACTATGTGACCTTTGGCTCGCATGTGATTTCCATCTCCATCCCCAAAATATGCTTCTCCCTGTTCAACAACAAATTATACTTCCAAATTTTAAAAACGAATAATTAAAATCTCTTTAAAACAAGCACAACATATTCTGTTTGGATGCCCCATTTAGCAACACAGCTTGCAGCTAAATCATTCAAAGACCTAGGTGAAAACAAAACAAGCAAAGACTTGTTTGAAAGTGTAAACAATCTAATTTTTAAGAGAAAAGAACATACTGTATGCATGAGATCAGAAGAACAGCGTGTTTGCATTTTAGCTTATCTTTTGCATGCTATTTCATTTTTAGGATGATTAGCAACACTGATGCCTAACCATGCCAAATTTGCCCACTCCTAAATCATGCATCATCCAAATAAATAAATAATGTATATCTTGGTCCCTGAGCCCAGGGTCTCACAATACTCTGAAAGAAAGATCAATAGGATAATGAATTTCAGTCTGATTTCTCTGTGCCTTAAAAGAACTAAAGTGTCTCCATTCATTGTTGAGACTACAGATCAAGGTTTCCTGCACTGAATACTATATGTTGTATGTAGCCTCATAGACTTCACTATTACTTGTTATATAATTTTTCTAGTTAGATTATGTCACACAAGTCACTGTAGCTGTAGTCTGTCCAAAGGCACCTTGCTAAGGGCAATTCCACACAGGTCTTTAACCCTGGTGCAATCAGGTTTCTTAAACCCGATTGGGCCTTGGTTAAAGTCCACACACCTCCTCCCAACATCCACACTTTCCTGAGTGGGGTGGGTGTCCAGTAGGCTTGGGTAACTACGGAAAAATTTGGTTCTAAACTCGTTTCGTTTTTAGGGGGGCCCTTGCGTTTCATTTTTTTAAAGAATTCCGAAATTTTCCTTTTAAAAAGTTCGAAATATACGAAATTTCGTAAAATTACAAATCGATTCGTTAATGGCGGACGCGATTGCGCAATATGCTAAAAAACCCTCCAAATGGGACAGGGAACTTCTGAAGCTTCCCTCTCCCTCTGTTGTTGACTGTTGGTGTGATAATTTATTTTTTATCACTGATAAAACAAACAACTATAAAAACTTGCACCAGACATACGGAAATAATTACGAAACGATTACGAAACGATTACGAAACAATTTTGAACCAATTATGAAACAATACGAAATAAATTGGAAAAATTGTTTCGATTTTTAATTACTCCTCACAGTAGTCCTGCATGGCTCAATATTGGATCGTAAGCTAATTTAAATATGAATTAATAACGAATTACGAAATTAACGAACGAAACCGCCCAAGCCTAGTGTCCAGGCCTTCTGGCAGGGCACCCAAACATAAAACCCCCCCCCCCAAGAAAAGCCTTTGAAAAGATAAAATAACTTACCCGGCTGCCATTCCCCCTTCTCTGGATGTCTCCTGGCACATAAAAATAATGTGCCAGGAGAAGGGAGGGACATGAGCGATTCTGTACCTCCCCCTTCTCATGGCACATCATTTCTACATGCCAGGAAAGCTCTGGAGAAGAGGGAATGGCAGCTGGGTAAGTTATTTTATTTTATGGCTTTTAAATGAGGTGGGGGAGGGGTGGAAAGGGGGGGCTGGCTTGGGTTTGTTGGGTTCCAGGAGCCCAAGAAACCCGAGACAGCTGTGTGGATGGGCACTGGAAGTAATGCAACATAATCCCCGGGCCCCATCCACACAGTGCCCACAACTGGAAAGATCTGGGTCTTTCCAGCTCTCAAATTACTTCAGCAAAAAATAGCATTTTCCTGCTTTGTCTCAAAGGAATGCATTTTTACCTGAGGCATCACTGGGAAAATGTGAGAGGGCACACATTTTAGGCGCTGTCTCGATATGCCCTAAGCAAGAGCTTATAACACCGAGCATTAGCTGAAGGAAACATTAGCTGAAGGAATATATTTCATAAACTCCAGCTTTCCTCAGAACCTCCTTGCTTTTTATCCTTTTGAAATGGTGAAATTTTTCCTAGAATATCACAGGCATTAGTACAATATCTAGCTTACAGATAAGAAATAGGCATGAAAAGAGAATAATTCAATATGATTATTTTTAGCAAAATGAAATAATCAAAAAGACAAATTACATAGGATTCAGAGAATAGAATGAAAGAAAAGCATAATGTTCACAAAATATCAGGGCTTTGTTTTCTTTTAGGGAAAAGAGAGCCAGCAGAGTGTAAAGGTCTAATCACTGGACTATGACTCTGGAGACCGTTCAGCTATGGAAACACATTTGGGAAAGTTGCACTCTTTAACTTCAGGAAAAGGAAAAGACAATCCTCCTCTGAACTAATCTTGCTTAGAATATCCCACGATAGGCTCTTCCTTAGAGCTACCATAAGGTGGAAACAGCTGGAAGGTACACAACAAACCCTTCCTAAAATATTATTAAGGACATCAGACTGATCAGACAGTTTGCCTTATTTGAAAGTATTACAGTCTAATCTGTAAGAGTCAAGACCAAATTGTGCACGTGTACATGATGTAAGAAGATTATTGGGAAAAGCTAGAGTCTATGTTACATATATTTCTTTTCCACAATTGCAGAATCCAAGCTTTGCAGCTAAACGAAAGAGCACTTGCAGTGCTGTGATCAATAGTTCAACAGAATTCTTGTCTCTCCAAAGAAGAGTCTGCTTGCATTGTATCTTATCTTCTCACACGTCATTTCATTTTCAGCACCAAAGCACCAAGCTTTAAGTACAGAACAGTACACTGGGATTTCTATACTTTAGGACTGTTTCCAAAAAGAGGAAAATCCATTCTAAAATTAATTATATGTTTCAGCTACAGCAGAGAAAGATGAGCAGAGTTATTCTGCTGAGAGACCAGCTGCTTTTGGCTCTTTTTATCCCTCCACTGTCACTTAACAGCAGCAATTCCAGTTAGCTGCTTGAACTGTTTCAACACCAACTGATCATTATTAGAAATTCCAAACATATTATTGCAAAATAAAGCAAAACAAGTATGATGCCATTTTAAAAACGTACAAACAAGGAATTACATTTTCTGAAATCCATGCAACTTCTTCACATGTGTAAGCAAAAGTTTCCAAACGTGTATGCCATCCATCATGATGTTGTAATATATTATTCTTTAAAAATGCTTCTGTAAGAAATATAGCTTTCTTTCAACCCATCTCCTTGTGTGTGTGTCATGACTTTTAGACCGAAAGCCTGAGTCCTCATCTACACTGCTCTTTAATGGAAATCCAGGTTTATTCCAGGTTAAAATAATACCTAGAAAGATCTGAACCTTTCAGGAAAATATGCATATTTGCAGGTATGGGGGACTGCCTCTATGGGGACTGACTCTTGGGATTGGCAATCCTCGCAGCCATCCCACCTCAGTGGGCTCAGGTAGCCTGGGGAAGAGGGATGGCAGTGACATCCTCCCCTTCCTGCCTCCTATTTTGCCCCAAAACATACTGTAAACACTTCAGGACTGATGCACCAGGGGCTCTGTGTCAGGGTTTCAAAACACCATGAAATTCAGGGACTCTTCACTCCTGTTAGGGAACCAAATACCTTTTTGCTGTGAAGTGGTCTTCCCAGGAACAAGAACAACACAGACATAAAGCTGTTTATTCTAGCTGGAAGGCTTTTCTTTCTTCAGTTGCATAAATAATACAAACAGTGCAAATACAAACAGTACAAATGCTAACAGTAGGTAGAACAAACTCTCTCCCTTCTCTCTTCATCCATCAAACTCCTAACACAGGGTTACTACAACCTATATAATATAGTCTTAGCACTTGCCACTACACTCCAATTAGAATGACACCTGGTTAGGCCTAAGACACTGATCCTGTTCTCTTAAAGAAAACCTGTGTAACTTAGAACCCTTCTACAAAGCTGTATAATATCCACATTGAACTGGATTATATGGCGGTGTGGACTCAGATAACCTAGTTCAAAGGAGATATTTTGAATTATCTGCCTTGATGTTTTGGGTTATATTGTAAAACTCCAACTACCATCATTCTGTAGCATTAAGTCATGGGAATCAAAGTGGCATAAAACTGCAATCATTCTACAGTTCAGAATGTGTAAGAACTGAATCAATAATACGATCCCATGGATGCCTCTCACTGATTTTATGTCACTATCTAACTCTTAACTGACTCAGTCTAACTATGTTGGTTTAATTTATTGATGTTATGTTTAACTCACTGATATTCATTTAATTTGATGTTAGGTTTTTAACGCTGCTTTCATTTGTGGGGTCTTTCTGGGATTTTATGTCATTGTTTGTTTGTTTTATGAAGGCATTGGATGTAAGTTGTATATTGGAATCTGCCTTGAATCCCTCGGGGGAGAAAAGACAGAATAGAAATAAAGTTTATTATTATTATTATTATTATTATTATTATTATTATTATTATTATTTTACTGACACCAAAACACAGTATGTCACAGCAAATGAGATATATGTGCTGGATTTCGTATCACAAAATCACAAGTCAAACACTTCCCAAGCGTCTAGGACTGTGTAATTTATTTTTGAATGATGCATGCAGATCCAAGTAAGGTGGCCTTTTGCAGTTGACAAATCATGATTTTGTCAATGTTTATTGTTTCCAAATGCCGGATGAGATCTTTTGGCGTGGCACCCAATGTGCCAATGACCACTGGAACCACCTGTACTGGTTTATGCCAGAGCCTTTGCAATTCGATTTTGAGGTCCTGATAATGGCTGAGTTTTTCCTGTTGTTTTTCCTCGTTGCAGCTGTCACCCGGTATGGCAACATCAATAATCCAAACTTTTTTCTTTTCCACAATCATGATGTCTGGTGTATTGTGTTCCAAAACTTTGTCAGTATGGATTCAAAAGTCCCACAGTATTTTTGCGTGTTCATTTTCCATGATCTTTGCAGGTTTATGATCCCATGAATTCTTTACTGCTGGTAGGTGGTACTTGTTTCATAAGTTCCAGTGTTTGTAGTCCGTCTGTGTGATTTTCTTGCAACAGCTGAGGATATGATCAATGATTTCATCAGCTTCCTTGCACAGTCTGCATTTTGGGTCACCAGCTGATTTTTCAATCCTGGTTTTAATTGCATTTGTTTTGATGGCTTGCTCCTGGGCTGCACGAATCAGACCTTCTGTCTCCATCTTCAGTGTTGAATTCATGAGATGATGATGATGATTTATTTAATTTAATTTATTGATGATTTATAAAGTCACCAAAGGTCAAAGCAGACGTCATGGAATATGACATCAGTACAAATCCTAAGAGTCATGTCAAATGGCACATGAACAAAGTAATAAACAACAATGACCACAGATAAAATAATGTGTTTAGAAAGTTTAGAAATTATTTAAAATGTGTGTAGAAATTATGAGTACTTACACTTGAAGTACTGTTTTAGGATCTCCTACTTCTCCTCCATCACCAATTGTTAGAGTGTCATAACCAATTTCCAGATCAAATTCTTCAAAATTAATTTGAATAACCTGGCAGTGGGAAGAAAAGAATACACAGTTAAAGGACTTCTGTTAACGCTAATTCACCAACAGTAACACAGAGATACATGGAATCCAGAAAAAAAGCTCATGGTTATTTCAGAATAATATTTTTAGTCTCTGTTTTATGCATACACATGAGTGATATGTCTGGAAAAAAATAATGGAAGTATGGTGCAATACTTATCTCTGGTGGTATAAGGTATACCTCATCCCTTCTTTTTTTTTTTTCTGGCTATGCACATTGAAGCTTAAGAAGATAATTGTGTCTGTAGAAAGTCCTGTAGAAAGTTCTGGGCCATTTTGCTTGGACAACAATACTCGAAGACTATATTTTAATTGACCTCCCTGTATTTTAATTGATCTCTCTTGATCATAACTTATCCTTGTGATTATTTAAAATATTTCTTTAATTTATACTGGAAAGCTTGAACATGATTACATGGAATACAATATGCCTGGGTGTGATCATTAATGCCTGAATCCAAGACTGAACAAGATAGGGTTTAATCCAAAGATCTATTCAGTGAAATTCCACAGAAGTTTGAAGGAGGGGGTGTCAAACTTCCATCTATTCTGCTTCAACCTGCATCATCTTTTCTGCTGCTCTGGATAGTTGGCAAGACCTCAAAAACAGAAAATCAGGGCTTCTTAAACATTTTCCACTGACAAGTCCTTTCTGCTTGGGAAATTTTTACATGACTCCAAGTATATAGGTATATAAAGTAAGCATAAATATCAAACATTTATTGACAATAAATCAGTATTTGCAAGGCTTGCTAAACTGGCTGATATGATTTTTGTGGACTACAGCGGAAGCATTTTCTGCTGGGCTCACTGTAAACACTGCATGTTGCTCCTAACAGATTTGTGTAAACGAGTAGCAGTCAGAAACTTTTTCATGACCCCAACATTGAGCTAAAGGAACACATTTAAGGTTGGGACCCACAGCTTAAAGCCCCTTCTACACTGCCATATAAAATCCAGAATTTCCGCTTTGAACTGGATTATATGACAGCGTAGGCTTATATCATCCAGTTCAAAGCAGATAATGTGGATTATCTGCTTTGATAATCTGGATCATGTGGCAGTGTAGAAGGGGCCTAAGGAAGGGTCCCAAAAGCATATATCTCAAAACCCTTGAATGGGCCTATTCTTTTTTCAGCCCCTTCCACACAGCTGTATAAAATGCACATTGAACTAGATGATATAGCAGTGTGGACTCAGATAATCCAGTTCAAAGCAGATATTGTAGATTATCCGCCTTGATAATTGTAGGTTACATACCTGTGACCATCTTTCTTCGAGTGGTGCTCTGCGAATTCACACTTGTGGAGAGACTGCGCCTGCGCGGGCTCCAACGGAAACTTCTACATTTTAAAACTTTTCAAGTTTTGGCGGTAACCCCGCCCAGTCCCGACAGGGGATAAAAGGGCGCCCCGCGCACACACCAATCCAATTCCTACGCCGCTATGGTAGCGAGAAATTTGAGGTTTGCATAGAGGGGAGGCTGGGCGGGTTAGTGTGAATTCGCAGAGCACCACTCGAAGAAAGATGGTCACAGGTATGTAACCTACCATTTTTCTTCGTGGTCTCTGCGAATGCACACTTGTGGAGACTAGCAAGCTCAGGTCCCGGAGGCGGGAAGTAAGCAAACCGACCATTGAAGTCAAGGGCCAAACAATTTTATTAAGTGCAAAAACAGTTATCAACAAGAGACTGTAATCACTTCCGAAGAAGGGCATAGTGCATAACAAGAGATTGCAATCACTTCCAAAGAAGGGCACGGTACATAAAACATATGGGAGTACGTGATCCTCCCGGTCACGTGAGGGTGACCAACAATCGAGTAAACTTACGACCCTTGAAATAAACCACATGGTGATTATCGAAGACACTCATTATAATGAGGGCACATTAAGCAGTAATACAAAAACAGTTTGTTAACAAGTGCACAACACATTAGCAAGGCAAAGCCATCGATAATGACACAGAATACCCGTGATGAGCCCATTAGGCCATAGTGCAATGGTTGCCTGCGCCTCAGGCAGTAAGGCATCAAGTGCGGTTATATTCACTGACAAAGAATTCAAGTAACAACATAGTAATAACATTCACAGCAATACACGGTATCGAGAAAAACGCTCGGCACCGATACAACACACATCAAATTTGCAAAACTCAAGGCGGGCATGAGCCCAGGATTGCCCTCCCAAAGGCCATATCAGGTGTATGCCTGGTATTAAGTCTGTAATGCGACACAAATGTCTGAGGATTCTTCCAAATGGCCGCTTTGCAAATAGCGTGCAGGGGAATCTCCTTAAGAAAGGCTGTCGATGCCGCCATAGCCCTGGTCGACCGAGCCCGGACGACCGAGGGGGGTTGTTGTCGAGCCAGCTGGTAACAAAGCTCGATGGTCGAGGTGATCCAGTGCGACAAACGTTGCGCCGTGATCGGCAGGCCCACCTTATCGAGGGCATATGCAACAAAAAGTCTCTGCGACCTTCGAGACTGAGCAGTCCTGTCTTTATAACACAGTAATGCTCTCCGCACATCGAGCATATGAAGTCTCCTTTCCCCCGGGGTAGAGGGGGACTGACACAACGAGGGAAGGACAATGTCTTCATTGACATGGAAGGGGGACACGACCTTAGGGAGGAATGTCACATCTGTGCGGAGAACTGCTCTATCCTCGTGGATAACAAGATAGGGTTCGTCCACCCGCAATGCCGCCAACTCCGACGGCCGACGGGCTGAGGTGATCGCGACCAGGAAGGCCACCTTCCACGACAACAACCGAAGTTCAATTGAAGACACCGGCTCGAAAGGCGGTTGCGCTAGTCGCGCCAGCACGAGGTCAAGGTTCCAACCCGGAGTCGGAGAGCGGACCGGGGGGTGCAGGTTGTTGAACCCTCGCAGAAAGGATCTCACAGAGCTATCCTTAAACAAGGAAGCCTCTCCTGTCCGTTGAAGCTGCCACGATATGGCCGCCAGGTGAGACTTGAGCGAGGATAGCGACAAGCCTCGCTCGGTAAGGTGCAGCAAGAACGAGAGAATTGCCGGTACCGAAGGTCGATGGTCATCTAGGCCCTTCTCGAAGAGGAAGGCCTGGAAGCGGTTAAGGCACGCCGAGTAACACTTCTTGGTTGCTGGCTTGTGAGCTGCCTCCAGGATCGGAAGAACTCCTGGGCACATGGATCTCAGCACCAGATCCTCCACGCCGAAAGATGCAGAGAAGCGAGGTCGGGGTGGAGAAGCTGGCCGTCTTCCCGAGAGAGCAGGTCCTGCCGGAGTGGAAGGCGTTTTATCCGCCCCTCGGATAACTGAAGAAGGGCCGAGAACCACGGTTGTCGTGGCCATTCCGGCGCTACCAAGATGCAGTTTGTTTGCGCCGACTGGATCCTCTCGATCACCCTCGGGATGAGCGGGAAGGGAGGGAAGAGGTAGAGGAGATGCTCCGACCAGTCCAACAGGAATGCGTCTCCGAGGCACCCCGGTACCATGTTCGGGGCAAGCCGAGCACCGAACTGCGGGAGCTGAGCGTTTTGCGGCGATGCGAAGAGATCTGCAACCGGGAGGCCCCATTCCCTGAAGATCTCCGCCAGTACGTCGGGGTTCAGCCTCCACTCGTGGGATGTTGCCCTGGTTCTGCTGAGTACATCTGCCTCGACGTTGGCTTCGCCCGGGAGGTGTAAGGCTGTTATCGACACCGACCTGGCTACACACCAGTCCCAAAGTTCCAGCGACAGCTTGAGAAGTTTTCTCGAGCCCGTTCCTCCCTGCTTGTTCACGTAGAACATTGCCACCATGTTGTCCGTGAGGATCTGGACAGACTTCCCTGTGACCAGCAAGGCAAATGCCCTCAGGGCCTTGAAGATTGCTAGCAGGTCCAGGTAGTTGATATGGGACTGCCTTTCCTGAGGAGACCAGAGGTCGTGTACCAAGAGTTCTCCTGTATGGCATCCCCATGCGAACATCGAGGCGTCCGTCGTGATCGTGACGGCTGGGGGCTCTGGGTGAAAAGGAATGCCCTTGCAGACATGCTGTCGGTTCATCCACCAGTTCAACGAGTCCTTTACCGACCTCGGTACCAGCAGGCGCTTTGCGGCACTGTCTTGCATGGGGTTGAAGTGGTCCAAGAACCATCTCTGGAGGGGGCGGAAGCGGAAGCGGAGCCTTGCCAATGGCGTCACCATCACCGTGGAGGCCATGTGCCCGAGGAGGACCTGTATCTGTTTCGCCGGGACCACTCGGGAGCGGCGCACCTTGAGTGTTTCGGCTCAAAGAGCCCTGAATCTCTCCTCCGGAAGGAAGACTGTCTGGGAGAGAGAATCGAACATGGCGCCGATGAACTTTATGCAGGTGGTGGGCTCGAGGTGGGATTTCTCCTCGTTTAATTGTAGGCCTAGGTCTTCGAGGAGGGAGAGTGTCCTTGCCACCTGCGCCCGCAGGAGGTCCGGGGAGCGTGCTGCCAACAACCAGTCGTCTAAGTAACGGAAAATGCGGATTTTTTCCCTTCTGAGGGCCGCTGCGACCACCGACATGCATTTGGTAAAAGTTCTCGGTGCCGTCACGCGACCGAAAGGGAGGACGTTGAACACGTACGTCTGTCCCGCTACCCTGAAGGCCAGGAAGCGTCTGTGATGTTTTCTGATGGAGATGGAAGTAAGCGTCGTGGAGATCGACGGACGCGAAGAAGTCCCCGTATCTGAGGAGAGGGAGAATGGACGATACCGTCACCATCCGAAACTTCCGAGGTTCGATGAAGGAGTTTAAGTCTCTGAGATCGAGGATGGGGCGAAGGGAGCCATCCGGCTTTGGGACAGTAAAGTATCTGGAGAAGAAGGCTCGATGGTTTTGAGAGTCCGGGAGAGGGGAAATTGCCCCTTTCAGAAGCAAGGTATCGACCTCTGTCAGGATCGCCGAGGATGGCTCGGTATCGACAATCTGCCCTGTTGGTGGGAGCTCTTCGAACTCCAATGCATAACCTT